CTCTCTCTCTCTCTCTCTCTCTCTCTCTCTCTCTCTCTCTCTCTCCGCACAAACACCGCACAAATTGTATAATCCATTCCCAATCTGACACACCCGGGTTTCCAGTTTTCAGTTTCAAAGCTTCTGTCAAAACCATTCAGCCGACATGTCTCAGAAATTGCCGGTCAAACGTAATATAGTGGACGCGCAGAAAGCGTGACCGGTTTAATATTTTCGACGATTTTCCTTTTCACATTCCACTTCTGCCGACAACCAATGTCGGACAACCCTGTAAAAACGCCGAAAGTATTAGTGGAACCGCAAAGCTGCGATCACGACATGGCATTCCTGCTCCCCTCTTCCCCTTTTTCACCCACCTCTATCACTTCATACAATCTTTTTTTTTTCTTCTGATACTTGTGTCACCATCCCCATCCCTCCTTTTTGTTGAACATTCTGAATTTTTCTGTATTGTCCAATCACACAATATCCATCCCAAAAGTAGATTTACATTTTACAAAACGCGATAAGTATGACCAATAATATTCAAACACAATTTGTTTCTAATGCGTAAAAAAAAGCATTTTCTCCAAACAAAGCCAATTCTTATATGTATGCTGTTTTTCACTTTAACTGAGACATAGAAAGGAAAGACATAGGCCTAAATCACCATCATCTTCATCATTTTATTACAGCATGATGACGTTACGGGCGAAACGTCGAACTTATTAAAATTGAAAAGTCTACTAAGTCTCAAACCCTTTTTTTTATTCCCTGCTATCTACAATGATAATGATGATGATGATGATGATGATGATGATGATGATGATGAAGATGATGATGATGATGATGATGATGATGATGATGATGATGATGATGATGACAATAATGATGGTGATGAGAATAATGATGGTGATGATACTATATTATGTTGTTGTTAACCGTGATGTCGGTTTTGCTGTTGCTGTTGTTTGTCTGTTTGTTTTTGTTGTTTTGTTGTTGTTTTTTTCGTGTGTGAAACAAACACAGTTTCGGGGGGGGACGAAGAAATATAGAAAAAAAACCTGGTGTATGAAGGGGAAAGCGTTCCTTCGGCGGTCAACAGAGGTTCCCCGGGGTCTACACGTCAACACTGGTCAGTGTACGGCAAAGCAGCAAAGTACACTGGTCAGTGCGGACAATTAATCTGTCCATTTCATGGCAGCAAAGTCCTCCTTCCCTGGCGTCTGCTCAGCGTGAGTGTAAGCCCAGGGCGGGGGTTGATGTTGTGTCAGAAAGTCCGTGAACCCAGCTCAGAAGTCAAGCAATTCATCAACTTTGGTATCTGCAGCAGCAGCAGCAGCAGCAGCAGCAGCAGCAGCAGCAGTTGTAGCATTAGTAACTTGCAATCGCAGTAAGAGTAACAACAGCAGCAGCCAAAGTACTGGCTGTAAAAGGCATTATCGTTCGCGTTGCATTTGCCATTATCCCTCTTAGCTATAACTGTAAACATAAATCATAAATGTATCCCCACCAAAACCCTTTTCATCTCCGTCCTCTTTCACACCCAGAGTAGAAAGATTTCCTAAAGCATCACACGGCACTTATACGACCTTACTGTGTTGCAAGTGCCGTAAAATTCTTACAAAAACTAAAACAAAAGCACCACTCGCAAACAACATCTGTATGGACAGATGAGCATACAGAAACAGAATGGGGCGGTAAGGAGGAAGATAGATAGATAGATAGATAGATAGATAGATAGATAGATAGATAGATAGACAGACAGACAGACAGACAGACAGACAGACAGACAGACAGACAGACAGACAGA